GGCGTGCTGTAGCGGATCTCCATGTTGAATTTATCCGGCGTCTTGGGCAGAGGAGGCTTCTTCAGCATTTTGTGCTTCATGATGATTTCCTCGTTGGCATATATTGGGGTGTCTGCGTCGTCAGAGTGGTACCCTGACTGATATCCACTCGTCTGATTGGATGACTCCGAACCCAGAGACTCTTTACTCTTGCACCGCAACAGTTGGCTAAAGAGTCAAAGCAAGATGAGGACACATTTAAAACAGATTCACAGGGTAAAAAAAAACAATATGAAATAAACCACTCGAAGAAAGCATGCAAAGGCTTAGTCCCCACCTTAAGTTGGGTGTGGTTGGTAGATGTTGATTCAGACCCTTCATCTCCTCTGGTGAGAAGTCCATGCCACTGTCTGTGTGACCCTCCTGCCAAGAGGACAGCACTTAAATGAACTTAAGTGGTTGCTGCATGGCGGGAAGGTATTAACTTTCAATCACATTTGTTAGTGCCCACTTTTGTTTTTTTATGAAATGGGAATTGAATGATTATTTAATTATCAATTAGCTGTATTTGTAAAAATATTAAGCAATTAAGAAAATTCATTAATAGATATTTGAGGGGGGTTTTCTCTATTACACAAAAGGTTTTGCTTAATACAAATTAGATTTTTTTGTTCGTCTGAAAGTTATCGTCCTAGTTCAAAAGATTTTTTGCATTCTTGTATTCTCCAAAATGTCAGTCAGGGGTTTTGCTAAAATGTCACATCCATTAAGTGTTCTCTGGCTAACAAATAATCTTTATTTCCCATATCAGTGATCCTGTTGTTTTAACTAAACTCTAAGAAAACCTTTAAACACAAGACAACACAAAAGTGTAAAGTCCAGTAAAACTGGAAATGCTTCTGAGCGTTTCAACAATTCAACATTTCAAAGGAGAGCTACAACTCAGGACAGATAAAATCTTGTTCCTTCTAAAGGTGCTGATTGCTCTTTGTAGACTTTTTGAAGACTTTTTGTACTAAGTAGATCAACTGTGCTCTTGTTTTATGAATGAGGTGGTTGTTAAATGTGTAGTTTTACACTAACCATGACACTGCTGTGCGCCACAGGGACGTCTTCAAATGTCTTCACACTGAGGGGACGACTGCACCTCTCATTCTGTTGGGACAACCTGTACAAAGAGGATGTGTCAATAAAACCACAACTGAGTGCTCTAGCATTAACAAAATGAGAGAGGCAGTGGACAGAAGGAGGTAAGAGCATGACGCTGACCCAAGGGATGATGGGTTGTCATAGTTAAGCCGGGCTTCAAGAATTTCGCCACTTTGGGGCCTGCTATACGGTCTCCTGGGGTCAGGGGCTGCTTGGCATTCTTCTGCTTCACCTACTGTCAAAGGTATATAGTCCTTCCCATCCTGGAGATACAGAGTACGTTACTGGCTCAAAATACACACTGAATTAAATAATTATACATAAACAATTAGAGATATAACCTTTAAAAATCTAATACATAAGCCACATTATAAATCCATTTCAAATATATGTGATATTTTCATATTTGCTGTCATTTGCTTTTTGATTTTGTTTCACCTAAAAAAACTTGCTAAAGCTCCCATAAAAGGCATTCAGGGTACGCTGCACAGATGTAACAATAGCACAGAGAAAGAGATGAAACTAAGGAAGCTTCTTTGTAGCTGACAATGTTTTAAATATCCTATTACTTATGAACACTGCTGCCTTTTTGTTTAGGCCTGAACTGACCTGCTGGGCACTAGCCTGTAGCAGGTTTCCCAGGTGTTCAACCAGTTCGGTAAATGTTGGCCTGTCTGTGGGACGATTCAGCCAGCAGTCCAACATGGTCTGGTATCTGTGAATACGGATAATGAGGATCGCAATACGAGCAAATGATTCAAGTTACATTTCTGTAAATCGTTCAACCGTTGCTGTCTACTTACATCTCAGTGGTGGCGTATTCGGGTGGTCTCATCCTGGTACCTTCCTTAAGCCTCCTGCAGAATGATTCATCAATGCAAACACCCGGATAAGGAGAAGCCCCTGAAGAAGACATTACAGAAGTTTCATTGCAGATATAAAGTGGTCATTAAGCAGTGTTATTTGATTACTTCTAAACTTAATCCTTACCCAAGGAAAAGATCTCCCAGAGAAGGACGCCAAAGGACCAAACATCACTTTGCGTGGTGTATACGCGGTCAAATATGGTCTCAGGAGCCATCCACTTTAGAGGGAGACGTGCCTGTGGTAACAATAAAACAGTAAATTATTCCTTCTTATGCTTTATTTGTGTAAATGAGTATGTAGTAAAGTGAATAACGTTTACTATCCTATTACAGTGGTATCTGTTAATGTGCATGGATATAGTGGATGGCAGGTGAACATGATACAAAGATATCAGACAGGTCAGAACGCCCATGCTGACCCAGGTCTAGAGCATCAGAAGCTGACTATGGAAGAATGGCAGATAGCTTTGGTGACTTTCACTGTCTTTTCAATCATATGAACACCTGGGTGCACAAGGATCATTTAACTAGGGAGGAGAAAGCAACAGGATGAGCTTTTTGAAGAAGCCAAGACAGGATCCTATTTGGCACTAACATTGACTAAAATGAACTTCAGGTAATGTGTTGGTGAATGGTGTGACAGGATACCTTGAGTCTCAGCTTCAATTGGTCAGAACTGATTTACAGCAAGAGGGCAGCCCAAGCACTATTAGATTAGTGCTTCTAATGAAGGGACACACTGGTGGAGTATCGGTTAAGAGGACTCACGTCTCCTTTGCGGACATAGTCCGGGTCTTTGTAGACATCTCTAGCGAGACCAAAGTCACAAATCTTCACCACATTGTTTTCTGAAAGCAGGATGTTTCTGGCCGCCAGATCTCTGTGAATGCACTATCGACCAAACAGAGACATTTACATTCAAAGCATGGAAGAATTAAGTAATATCTCCACTTTCAATGCAGATTTGTGCACCAAAAAATTCAGACCCTTGTGATTTCACCTTGCGAGAAGACAGAAACTCCATTCCTTTGGCCACCTGGAAGCTGTAGCTTATCAGGTCTTCCATGGTTAGATGGTCATCATCTGAACTCTCTGTAATAACGAGATTTCACAGGAATAAGTACGAAGCCTGAGTGGCACCACAGTAATGTTATTCTAAGTTGTCTTCAGAACCTTTCTGAATGTCCATGTTGCTGCCTGAAGCCCTGTCTGAAGTGGTAGAACAGACCGCTGTTCCTGTGCAGATGTCCAGCTGGGCAATCTTCCCCAGACCCAGATCCCCCTCAGTCACATCCTCCTCTGCAGTCACCCACCTCTGGCTATTTACTCGCTTCCTCTGTTCAGCACAGAAAAGGTTAAACTAATGAAAAAATCCCAACATTTCATGCAGGAATTGTTTGTATTTCCTGCAATATGGTTCATGTTAGATACAATCTGTGGAGAGTACAGAACTGCACTACCACTTAATGATCGGTCAGTCTATTTGATTGTGTGCAACCATCTGGATTGTAAACCACATCAGAGGACTGACTGTGGTTTACTGGGTGCATGTGGGTTACACATAATTTACCTTGTAGGGGCTGTACTCTCCGCGCTTGCTCTTAAGGTAGCTGGATAGATTTCCATGTTTACAGTATTCAACAATAACCATCAGCGGTCCTGCAAGCAGAAGGAAGAGAAAGAAGTTTAATTATCAGAAGGAAGAATGAACATTAACACATTAAAGGACAACAGATGGCACACCGATGTTGATTTATAAAGATTATAAGATTCAAATTCATGCTTAGGACATGCTTAGTCAGCTAAAGTAAATAATGCAAATAATGCACTTGGTTTGACTGACCCCCAGGTTTCGTGCAGGCCCCCAGCAGGTTGACCACATTAAGATGATGTCCAATGTGGATGAGAATTTTCAGCTCTGACATCAAGGCGCGGTACTCACTTGCTGTGGCTCCCTCTGCACATAGAGATAACATTAGTTCTGCGTGTTTGA